TGAACAGAAGAGGTCTTTCCTGAGGAAGAACCCAAGTGGACTGCATATAGTTGTGCAGGTTCTGTCCTAGAGAAGGGCAAATGGGTGAGTGGGAATAAAAGCAAGCCCAACTCTACTACCTAACCATGTACTCTAGTGGGAAATTGTGTCTCCCGAGAGGGTGGGCCTCTTTTCTATAGTATAAAGTCATGACATGGGTTGGTGTTAGTTCAAATGCAATTTTTTTTAAAGATTTTATGTATTTATTTTTAGAGAAAGGGAAGGGAGGGAGAGAGGAAGAGAAATATCAATGTGTGGTTGCCTCTCAAGCACCCCCTACTGGGGACCTGACCCACAGCCTCTTGTGCCCTGACTAGGAATCAAGCTGGCAACCTGTTGGTTCACAGTCTAGCATACAATCCACTGAGCCACTCTAGCCAAGGCTCAAATGCATTTTTTTTAAATTGGCTTTAAAAATGAATAGGAATCTTCCCGGCATAATTCTGGGTAGTGTGCTTGTTAGAGTCATGAAAGGACCTGTTATTTCTGGGGAAGGACAAGAAGGTCTGTGGCTTGGATTTTATCCAATAGGTTGGGGAGCCAACAGTATTTTAAGCATGGGAAAACTTTAATTTTTAGATGGTAATTCTCTCAGGAGTGTCCAGTGAATGACAGGGAACAAGCAAATCCAGAGGAGAGGAGGTCATCACCTTAACCATGACAGCCAAGATGGATAAAGAGAAGACAGAGAGGCTGTGAGGACAATGAAAGAGCAGGGTTTGACTTCAAGGTTTTCATTCTAGATGCCACACAGTAGTAGAGTTAGGCTGGGAGGAAGGTAGGGGAATGGTGATAATAGACACTGTTTGAAACAGTAAATGTTTGGTGGATAGTAGGAATTAGGTAGAGGCTATTGAGACAGCTTTGTAAAGCATAAATGGATGAAATATGTAGTTGAAACAATGAGTATGAATAGGTTCACCTGAAGAGACCATAGTGTCAAGAATAAAAAAGAACCTGGAAATGAGAAAAGCACTGGTGACTTTAGTGAGAACAGTTTGAGTAGGGTGCTATGGGCGGAAGTCACATTGTAGTGGAATGAGGATTAAATAAGCATCAAAGGACAAGGGTTTTCATCCCAGCTGAACCTTAGAATTGTCTGTGAAGGCTTTTTGTTGTTTACTTTGTTAATTTTTAAAATTAATTTATTTTCCAATTAGAGATGGCATACAATATTATATTAGTTTCAGATATACAACATAATGTGGGCATTTATATATCTTACTAAGTGATCACCCTGATGAGTCTAGTACCGATGTGATGCCATACATAGTTATCACAATAATGTAGACTGTGTTCTTTTGCTGTACTTTACATCCCTGTGACTGTTCTGTGACTATCAATTTGTACTTCTCAATCCCTTCATGTTTTTCAACCACCTCCCCATTCCCCTTCCCATTTGGTGACCATTATTTGTTTTTTGTATCTGTGCATTTCTGTTTTGTTTGTTTATTCATTTTGGGTTTTATGTTCCACATATAAGTGAACTTATATGTGAAGTTTTTTTAGAAGCATAGTTGCCTGGATTGCACCCCTAGATATTCTGAGGTAATTGCTCTTCTATGAGACCCAGAAATCAGCATTTTTTAATGTCCTCCAGCTTTAAAAATCAGTACCCTTGACTACTCTTTTAAAAAGTACAAATAAACTTCGGTAGCTAGCAAGCATGTATCGAGGTGCTTAAAATCACAGGGAGTCAGAGAAGTATAAAACTTTTAAAGGATGAAGAATCTTTATATTATCAGACAGTTGGATAATGCTAAGTGTTTGTGTGGATGTGGGGCACAGTAACCCTCATGTCCTACTGCTGGATGGGTAGACTGCGACAGCCATTCCATAAAGGAACTTCTGCTAATTAACTCTTTAAGCCTTTCCTATGGACCAGCGGTTCCACTGATGGAAACATGCCAGGGAGATTCTCCCATAGGTCCAGCAGGGAGCCTGCACTAGCATGTTCCTTTGCAGCCTTGATAGGGGAGAGTGAATTGAAGATAATCTGAGTGGCCTTCACTGGGAAAGCACGTCAGATATAACTGAGTGGATGCACTCTGTAGATTATTATGGATCATCAGGAGCAATAGATTAGATATACAGAGTTGGGCAAAAGTAGGTTTACAGCTGTTCATGTGGACAAAAATACAATAATAAATAATAATACGAGAATAAGCTCTGTGTTTCACATACTCACAACTGTAAATATACTTTTGCCCCATCCTGTATGCATATTAATATGGATATACCTTAAAAATAGAATGCTTAGTAAATAAGAACTATAACAATATTGCTTACATAAAAATGCATACTCATATAATAACAATATGTATTTTAGAAAAACACATTGAAATAAAAAAGTTGGAAACCATTTAAGTGACTGCCTACATATAAGAAGAAAAGGAAATGGGAATGAGAGAGAAGAAATTGTATTTAAAAAGTGAGATGCCACCCTGGCTGGTGTGGCTCAGCGGACTGGGCACCGGCCTATGAGCCGAAAGATCACCAGTCTGATTCTCCGTCAGGGCACATGGCTGGGTGGCGGGCCGGGTGCGAGCGGCAACCAGTTGATGTTTTTCTCTCACAATAATGTTTCTCTCCCTCTTTCCCTCCCTTCCCCTGTCTCTGACAATAAATAAGTAAAAATTTAAAAATAAATAAAAAGTGTTGGACCAAGGAAGAATGAGGTTAGATGGAAGCTTAAAAATGGGAAGTGACATCAAGGGAAGGAGGTGTGTGCATGTATGTGTGTGTGTGTGTTTAATTCTTTAAAAATTTTAATTTTTAACTATGGTACAATTTGTTTATATGACATAAAATTGACCATCTTAGGCACTGTAAGTGTAGTCCATTAGCGTTAAGTACATTCACACTGCTTTTTTTAAATGATAGTATCGATTGTATTTCCTATGCTGTACAATGCATCCCTGTGACTTCGTGTGTTTTAATAGAAGGAAAAAGTTATGAATATATAGATGAAATGGCAGGCTCTGATGGAGTTCTTACTTGCCCTCTTATTTATTCACAGCATTGGTAATAATAGCTGAGGGTTATATCCAGTAGTGTTCCTTTCTTTGTCCTTTCCCCACCTTAATCAAATTCTTTTGCTTTTTTTCTTATTACTACAGTGGTGAGTGCTTCTTAGAGACATACCAGGAAATTACAAGCAAAATTAACAGAAATATCCTTAAACCCACTCACCCAGAAATAGTATCCAGACCTCTTTCTATGTCCTGAGACACCTGCGCAGCTTCACTTGTGACGGCAGCACCGTGTTCCATTGTCCCGATGCGCCGTCATCAATGCAGCCAAACCCCTTGCGCTGGGCATTGCTGCTTCTAAAGTTTGCTGTTCCAGCTGCTCAGGGAACAAGCATAAGCTACCTACCTTTGAAGCTACCTGCCCGTCGTTTGGCTCATTTTTAAGGGAGGTTTAAGGATTGGATTTAAGATTGTCTAATGATGTAAAAATTTACTTGGCATAATCAAAGTCAGAGCACCAGGTCCCCTTGGAACTATTCTGGGCCAGTTGTGAATGAGAATGAGGGAACGGGGCTGCCACTCCCCACTGTCTGTAAACTGTCATTTTAGGTACTTGTCACAGTGCCAAAGTACAAAGTACAGAAACCAGGGAGCCCAGAAATCAATGGATGCACAATGAAATCACACGAGGTGTTCAGGGAGCCAGAGTGGGACGTGTGCAGTACCTCTCATGCGATTATGATATGGGCAACTGGTGACAGGGGAGGCACTGAGTTTTTAGAAAATTGCCAGGAAATCGCTGTTCATGCTAGAGGACCAAAGTACATTATTTAGTCCACACCCAGTGCCAGAGCAGGGAACAGAGCAAGCCGGCCCGAGGGAAAGCACAATGTGTTTTTCTGAGTACTTACTATCCTCAAACATGCCCAAAAACTAATGGCTGTGAAGATTTAATTTAATCCTTCCAGTTGGAGGGTTTAAGCATCAGAAATCCAGTGCCAGTTTATTCAGGAGTTGGTAGTTAAGAACTGGCCAGACAGCTCTGCAGCCAGCTTCTCAAGGCACCAAAGAATTGGGAGTGAAAAAAAAAGGTCTCAAAGAAGCAGGAAAGCACCAACATTTTCATATCGTTAGTGCAGCATCTGGTATGTATAGTAGCAAAAGAAATGTGCTTCTGTCTTTTTAAACTGCTCCTTTGTTGTCAAGAAGATTTGAATAGACATAGCTCTTTCTAGAGTCTGTTTTGAAGCTCTTGAATGTTCTCCAGCCTGTGTTTGTATTAACATATACCCATGTTCCTGAGAATTAGCACTGGGCAGCCCTCTGCGTTTGGCAGGCAGGGTAAGCCTCCACATGAGTTACAGTTGAGAGGGCAAGAAAAGCTCAAGGTTCACCAAAATCCCCCAGTGGCCCTGCTTAAAATAGCAGTGTAGGCTGTAGCTTAGTGTTTTGACAGCTTATATCAGCAGTTTTCTCAGCTGATATATTGATTGCAGTTTGGACTTCAGTCCTGCTGATCTAATAAAACATCACTGTCATAACAGTGAAAGTAGAAGGATCTTTGTGGTCCCAGCCACTTTGAGAAGCAGCTTTACTATCATATGTAAAATGAAGTAATCTTGGACAAGATGACCGTTACTATATTTTTATTTTTTAATTTCTTCCACCAATATGTTGTTTATTAACACTATTCTACATATTTTCACCATATGCATTTGTTAAAAGGAATATAATGGTGCCTTCACAAATACTACAACAAACTTGTTTTACTGTACAGCAATATCACAGACAGCCTAACGACGTGTCCTGAACTACAATATTGTTACACTAAATTGAGGAGAAGGGGAACACACACAAAATTTAACTGAAGTACAGACTAAGCTTTAAGCCATGTAAAAATCTTCTCATTTTTTTGAATGGATAGTTTGAATATCTTATAATCACCTGGCTTTCCATCTTACTTACCCTAGATATCCTTTAATTTCACAGCAATTGCTGACCATCCAGGAGGAGTTAAACAACAAAAAGTCAGAACTGGAACAAGCAAAGGAGGAGCAGTCACACACACAAGCATTACTTAAAGTCCTCCAGGAGCAAGTAAGTGAAGGCAATAGCTCGGACTGGTGAACCAGTCGAACCTGGACACTAGTCTCCCTGGTGCTCAATGCGCTTGACTGAAGTTAATCGGCAGCACAATTAGCTTTCACCCACAGCAGCGCCCCCAGCAGTTTTGCTCTGTGGAATTTATAATCTCATTCCCAGCACCTCTGCTCACACTCTTGGGGACCTATTTAGACTACCCAAGCCCAATAGTGATGCGTGAAAGTTTCTTACAGAAGACAAAAGAATTTTGATAAAGTTTAAAATATTGACAGTGCAGATATATTTTCAAACAAGCAGCTAATTTCCTCTTAAGTATAATAGTGAGGAAATGAGTTTAGCATAACCCAAGGTACTCCTGCAGACATATGCATAAGGACTGACTCATACCAACATTCACAACTTCCCTGTGCTTCAGGGCACTTACCTAACCACGGTGAGCAACAAACATTGTATGTGAATTTGTAAATCTGATCATTTCATCCTAGCTTCCTTTGATACTGAAGTGTGGCCTGACGTTGTAAGTGGATGTGGGAGCACTGTCTTACAGCAGGGTAAGACGGATGGCTCGGTGGCAGAGGGAAATCCAAGCCCAGTACCTACTCACCTACTTTGGGCCTGTGCCTGCTGCCCACGATGAAATGAATGGCACTTGGAGGGAAAAATCACAGATAGCAATGCCAACTCTGATCAAATTTAAGTTGTTTTAAGTGTTTAACTTACACCGGCTTATGAAAATGTTATTTTATAATATAAGTAACTGCAACAGTGATGTTTTGAAAATATGAAGGTGGGAGAGTGTTACCCTAGTCCTCTGTGACTCAGTCATTTGCAAGTGTTTATTTTTTAATGGTTTGGGATCAAGAGAACATATTTTTATTTACATTCTCCTAAAAGTATAAGTGATTTGTGAGGGAAAAGTGAAGGTGTTGGACACTTTATAAGCTTTTATAACTTCAGACAAAGATGTTTATAAAATGAATCATTATCTTTATATATTTAATATATATTCAGTAACTTAGACTGAGGCTGAATCTGTATGGTTTTGAATAAGTTAGATTGAGCTGAAAAACACTGTTGACTAAATTCACATGACCTACTGACTAGGAGACTGGAAGTCACCATTCTCTTTCTCATTATTTGGTTCAAATTTGCTCCTGATTGAACAGACAGAGGTCTGACCTTTGTTGCTCTGCAGTGTTTGCACATATGAGCTCTCTCTAAATGACTTAAATGCTTTGTTTTGATTTGAGTCCAAACCCTAGTCATAAGAATAAATTCCAAGTTTTGCAGAAAGTATTGAGATAGCCTTGTTATGGTGTGCATTCCTAAAGCACACCACAAATGCAGTCATTGGTGAAGCACAAATGCAGTCATTGATGAAGCATCACACTTCATTCTGTATTACTTACAAAAAATAAATGGGGATGTGAAGAAGATTTGGAACAAGTAAAATCATTAAAAACTTATTAAATACTACTGGAAAGGAAGCATTTTTAAATACGCTGTATTACTTAAATAGGATGACTCTTTTCAAGGAAAGTCACTGAGAATACTTAAGTCTAAGTGGGCCCGTAGCAGCCAAATGCGTTCAGGGGCTGCTGGTACTGCCAGGTTGTTTTCCTGACGGCCCTTGTCCTGGAGCTGGTGTCACCCTTGCAGATGAGAGTGTGCGATGGACATGTTCCTTTCATCTCCTTGTAGCCACCCACCCACCCAGAGACATGAACTTAAAAACACACCTCTATCTCCACGAGCATTGTCTTACGAGACTTTCTTTGGGGTCATGTAGAGTAACTACATGGGTGAACACTTTTTCAGTGCCTGCACAGATGAGGCACTATAAATGACCTCACCTCTAGAGATTCTGATTATTTGGGTCTGGAGTCTTTCTTTACACACATGCGCACACACGCAGGAAAAGATACACCCTTCTCGGAAGATGTGGAATTTCACTATTCAAAGTTACTGCCACTCGATGGGAATCCAACTAGGTTGTGAAGGCGGAGGCTTGCCATCAGCAGGCCCCACGCCTCCAGGGAAGGCAGGCTCATTCCCCAAGTTCTCTGTTCACTAAGATGCAGCTTCCACAGGTCTCTCCAGGCTCCACTGGCCCCTGCCTTTCATCCCCTTTACAAAGGTGGTAGCTTCCAACACCGGGAGCTTGTTCACAAACCCAGGTGTCATTGGACACAATGCTGGACTGCTCCATCTGGAGGAGCAGAGCAGCAAAGAGAGAACAGGAAGCCAGCCAGTGAGGGCAAAGCAAAAGCTTGCCTGCGGCTTCAGTCATAGGTCAAGGGAAACCTGCAGGAGAGAGGCAAGACCTGTGGTCCTCTGGCAGCAGAGAGCAGGGCACAGCAATACTAGTGGACAGGGAGAGACGAGAGCAAATGGATAGTGGACAAAGATAGGACAGAGTTAAAGGAAAACAAGGAGGAGGAAGACAGAATTTATTTAAAGGGGAGAAGAAAAGAAGGGGCATGTTTATGCTAGTTAGTGTGTAAAGGTGGAGCACTTTAATAGCATAGTTCTGTATTTCTACTAAAAAATAACAAAACCTTCTGAGTTGACCCCACTCTAACTCAAAGAAGCATGAGTTATAGGACCTAAATGGGATGAGCAGAGAGGGTTGATAAAGAGAAAGAAGATGAGAAACACCTACAATAAGAAAACCTTATGATAGGAAAACATGGAGCGTTTTTCTTAAGTCCTTTTGTGGCCACTAATAATAGATGGTATTTGTATCACTGTGCCTTTCATATATATCACACATTGCCCATGCTTCCTTATACTTTTTATGTGTAGAAATATCAATGATGTAGCCCTAAAAAATAATAAGAATTTTTTTTTGTAAGTGGGAGTGGAGTGATTTGGACGAGCTGTGATCAGCTCTACTTACTGTTCCATAAGCAGCTGCCCCGCACTCCATGTCTTCATGTCACCATTTTTTGGCAAAGGCCCCTCTCTTAGTAGGAGGAACATATAGCTTTCTTGCTGAGAGTTTGAGGTTGTCTTAAAAAATACAGTGACGCTTTCATGAATAACCCATGGGTGTGGACAACGATGCGGGGATTGCCTGAGGGCAGGAGCTGGTTGGAGGTGAACACAGGGACAAAAAGTGGGGACAGCTGTAACAGTATAAACAATAAAATGCAATTTAAAATGCAACTGATATTTAATATTAAAAATTATGTGTACAAATAGCCATAAAAAAACCAGTGTTCGAATCAAACACATTGATGATATACATCATCAATTTATTTTCTTTTAAACTTTAAGCATTTATTTCCCACCATGAATTCTTTATTTGAGACATTAAAAAGCTCCAGAGATGCTGCTTCCAAAGTATAATAAGCCAGGAGGAAGTACTGGCAATACTTATCATTTGCCTTTGCTCTCTGTCTCCACATGTCTGCTTTGAGTTAAGCTAGATAAATTGCCAATTAAAGGTTTCCAGAAATCTCCCGATAGCTGATTATTCTCGATCCTTCTGAGAGAGAGTGGAGAGAGTAATATTTCAAACATACACTGTTAAAAATCTCATTTGAGAAATAGCTTTTCTTCTAATGCCTCAGTGACCAAGGAGAGATGTCTTCCCAATTCTTCCTTTCTGAAAAGAAGCAAATAATCCTCATTGAGGCCTCAAGAAACAATCTCAGTAATTCTGATATGTTTTCAAGAAGAACATGTACAATAGTACTGTGGCATATTAGTACAACCCAAAATATTCATTGTTCACAAGTAACAGTATAATATCATTTGGCTGGTGGCAACTTGCAAATGCTGCAGGGTTTAAGTGAATAGTAATACAACTCAGAAATGAAATCATTTTTTATTCTTAAGAACCAATTTTTTGTACATTTTGTGCCTATGGAATTGCTTTATAATCTTATTATTTAAAAAATAATGACCAAGACCCATTTATTTTTTGCCAGCCATCAAGTTTCATAAAATGCTGGTCTCAAATTGGCTTCTATAAAACTCATTAGAACTCTGTGCTCCATCTGTTTTTTTTCTCATTGCAAGTTTTATAAAGTACAGCCTCAGATTAAACAGAGTTAATAGAATGATATACACTTAACAGATATGCTTGCTTATTCATTTGTTTTTCTTTTCTAATTTGCAGTTAAAAGGTACCAAGGAATTGGCTGAGACCAACGGCCACAGCCATGAAGACACAAATGTAGGTACCATAAACCTGGTATTTGCTCTTGTTTGATGTTGGCTGAATGCTCATGGGAATGTGGCTCTTTATTTAGAGCACAAAGGATGTGTACCTCTTGGTGACTAATTAAGATTACTGTGTTTGTTTGGGCAATAAAATATAGTAGATAGGCACTGCGATCATTAGCTCAGGTTACAGAATGTCAACTTAGAATTACTTGAGCTAATCTCTACCATAAAAATTCTAATCGCAATGAATTTGCTTGAGTCCTTTATATTTCCAAAATTATAAACTAATGATGTGTAAGCAGGACAAATGGAATGAGACCCACCAGGATAATATGTAGGATATTGCATGTATATTTATTAAATTAGCCTGTGTAATACAGGTGGTAATGAAATGATTGCTATGTTGAAGAGGTATCAGAACAAACCCTTTCTCCCAGAAAGTGTAACTCTTTTCTATTTCAGACCCAGGACTGTAACATGATGTATCTGTCTTCCTGATACAGATAGAATGGTATAAGAGCTCAGTTAGCATTCTTGACTTCCAGTTTTAGTGTTCCTTGAATTGCCCCAAATTAGTCCAGTACTCTTTGCCTTGGAAGTTCTTTAGTCTCAGGTGGACTGCTATATGCCATGTAGATTATTGTCTCTCCATACATTTTGTGGGGGTTTTGTCTTTTAAAAAATATATTTGATATCTGTATGTATCTGATTACCCTCATCACAGAAAATTCTTACTAAGCAATTCTTTTCACATAACACAGAATCAGACATGGTAATAAATGCCTATTAACTAGAGCTAGGGGAAGTTACTCATTTCATGTTCACTCTTGTTTTAATTATATACAGCAGAGAGCTTGACATTCAGAATACCAAAAAACTCTCTCTTATTAATTACTGTTCCTACCAAACAGATATTTAACATATGATGCTTATTGAGAGCCTGTTGTGTATATGGAGCTCTGCTAAGTACTAGGGAAGGGGTTGGTTTACAAAGAATTGTAAGGCTTGCCATCTGTCCTCAAAGAACTTCTAAATGAGTTGATGGGTTAAGGAACACATGGGCAACATACCAGATGTGGTAAGTGTCCAGGAAGGTGAGGCCACTGTGACGTGCTGTAGTTTAAATTCGAGCTTATTAATTGTGTCAGCTTGACAAATTACTTAACCCTTTGGCTTTCTTTTCATCATTTGTAAAATGGATGACAATTCCTACTTCAAAAACTTACCATGATGTCGTAAGGAGCTGAAGAACGTGAAAACCTTAAGGTGTTATTATAAGGTTTCTTTGTGCTGGATGATTAAGGATGGCTTCCTGGATCTGTGGCATTTGGGCTTGACTTTGAAGAATAAATAGAATTGAGAGAAAGAAGCCATTCATTCAGCACTCCTGTAGGAGAGGTTGCGACCCAAGTAGAGTCTGTCCTCTCCTCCAGTGTTTCATTCCCCCTTAATCTTACCCCTTCTTCAGCATCCCGGCACCCAGGGACACACTGCTGCCACGTCCTCAGCCAAAACTTTCACATGCACTCCCCTCAGAGTCAGTCTCTCTGTGCCTCCCAAGAAAGCTGCTCTCTCATCCAGGAAGCCGGGAGAAGTGGCAGCATGCTTCATTTCTTGGTCTGTAAAATGTGGGTGATATTATCTGCCTTTCCTTCCTCAAGGCTTAGTGTGAGAAGCAAAGGAGATAATGGATGTGGAAGCGCTTGGGAATTGTGAGGTTCTACCTAAGTACAAGGTTGTTACTACTGTACACTCATCTGCTGATTGAATCAAATTAGATGGTACATGTGAAGGGAGGCCTAACACAGCCTTTACGCTCTGTTTTGAGGAATGTTGAAAGACATTTATTATTAAATGGGAAAAGTGAAAGGAGATCATCTTTGAGGTCTTTGTCCTTTCTAGAGGAAAGTTTTTCGATTTTGAGAATACCTGCCTAGAGTCCATGATGTGGGCTTTGTTGAAAGATAAGGTTCAAGTCTAATAGGAGGGAGGAGTAGCACCTGGAGCAAGGGTGGATGAGATATTTAGGGAGGAGTAGAACCCAGCGACACTTGCCCCTCATCACTGCTGGCCACCTCTATCACGGTGCAGAGGGGTAGGCTATATTTGATAACCACTGCCTATTTTCCTGGGGTTCCCAGTAGGTAAAATTTGTCCTCTTTCTTGTCTCTAATGTTCTCTCATTTGGGAAGTTTCCCTAGCATCTCTGCTAAGGTTATTTGAAAGAAAAGGAACAAAAATCACTTATTTTATGGCCACACATTGGGAATGCTAGCAAAATATTTTGTGAAAATATTTATAAATGTTTGAAATAAAGTCTAGATGTCATCTGAACTTTCCACCAGTCCTGTGGTGGTCAAAGGAGAATTTATTTTGCTCACTGAACAGCCATATGACGTGGCAAGTTATTTGACCTTCTTTGAACTTCACCTTCCTCATCCTTAATGTGTTAAGTGAAAGCATGTACATAAGCACCTGGCCCAGGGTATGTACTCAACAAGTATTGATGACCTCTTCCGGCATCAATGTCATTAGTATCTAATATAGTAGGCAGTACTTTGACAGGATGAATTTTAATGCAGATCATGAGGTTTAAAGCCTCTAGTCCAGGGGTTCTTGACTGAGGCATATAGATTGTGTGTGTGTGTGTGTGTGTGTGTATAATTATTCACATATGAGGGCAGGGATTCACTATATTATCATTTATTAATAATAATTATATAGTAGATCGGAGTTGGTATAGCTGGGTATTCTTGATAGAGTTGATAATTCATTTTAAAAACTATACTGTTATAAAAGTAAAGAGAAAAATTTTGTTTGAAACTAAAAAATTAAAAAATACAGAGTTGAAGAAAAATAACTTAGTTTCTTATTGCTCAAAGATAATTTTTATTAATATTTTATTTTAGTTCATTTCTACCATGTGCATGAATATGACTGGAGGGAAAAACTCATAAATAAATGAATAAAAATATATTATCACTGTCTTCAGTTTTTTACCTTCCTGATTTCTCATTATATTGTAAGTATTTTTCTTGTCACCAAATGTTCCTCAAAGACATGGTTCTTAATGGCTCTATAAGGTAGATATGAAATAATAGAACCACATGCCTATGTGTTAGGCATTTAACTTCCCATCTTTTAACTGTTATAAATAATGTTGCAATTAGCATGCACATAAATCTTGGTCTGCATCTCTCGTATTTGTTTCCTGGGGATTCTGTATATTGATAGCTGCGTCATGAAGTCTGGCAGGGAGCTTCAGAATTTCAGAACCACCAGGCATTCAGAGTGCTCGTGTGGCAGATGCTCGCTTACGGCATCTATTAGATGTGCTGGAGGGATCCACCAGAAGATATGTTGAGTCTTGCAATTTACAAAAAACCTTTTTGCCTTACTCTCAAGAGTTGTAAATCTTACGGGATGCTAGGTACACCTAGATTTGGTCAGTTACTATTGTTTTTTTACTGTTTTTACATTTTACTGAGCAACAATAGTACCTGACCAACGCCTTCTCTGCCATTGTTGAGGTCCCCAAACAGAGCACCCTTATCAGGCCCACCATTGTCCCCATATCACAAGACTTTCTGGGAGCCCATGCCCATAAGAAAAGTTTTCTGAAGACTAATTCAAAACGATTAGAAATGGAAATCAGATGCAGAATCCTTGCTCTCCGATAGGACTGCACTTACCAATGTTAAACGGGTTCTCTTTGTATTTGGAACTGGACATATTAATGACAATGGGGCAGTTCAACCCTTTAAGTGCCCCCAAGTTTAAAACTAGCTTTTATCACAGCTCCTTGAGAGAGTTCTGTTATTCAGGATCGAATTTTCTTTCCTAAAAAGTAAAGCTATGACATGCTTTTTTAATCTCCACCTCTGAGCAGTCTCCCAATCTCTAGAAGTGCTGAATAACTAGCCTGGTCCCTGGTAATTATGCATAACAGATATCAAAATCTTAAGAAAAGATAATCTGTCCTCATCTAGCATCTTTTATGATGACCTTCCTCCCAGAAGCCCCTCCATCTATGATCCTTATGTGTGTACGTTTGGTGGAAAATGTGCAGGGGAAGGGAGAGGACCCAAGAAATGCAAGAACAAGTAGGAAAAACCAAATAAAGTGGCAGCCGCAGCAGGCGGTGTATGATACAGTTTGGTCTGGGAGATTCCCATGAATTTTCTCTCCTCCATCATTGTTTCTGTTATAGGAAAGCTACTACCCACATCCTCTGTCTGCACAATTCAGACTCACACACTGGGGTTAGAGAAATCATTTACAATCTGTAAGGAGGTTTAATCTGTGATGCTGAAAGTTACCACTGTCAAGTAAAATACCCTTTCCACCCCACAATAAAAACGCAAAAGAGAAAAGGCTTCCGTTTTTCATGTTGCCTCCATAAGAAAGTAAATCCTCAGAGTTGTCTTTAAATCTGTCAGAGTAAAGATGTTAGGCGTGTACAGAAGAAATACTGTGTGAAGAACATTCTTCAGGTTTAGTACAGAGCAGAAGAAAGCTACTGTTAAGCACGTATTTTAATGATGTGCATGTCAGAACCCTGCAAGGGCCCTGTGCTATGCTCGTTTCAAACGTGGCTTTCATCCTCTGGCCAGCAATTTTCAACCAGTGTGCTGCAGGAATCTTTAAAACACGCAATACCTGACTATTTAGTCAGGGCCACTGACCTCTTTTCCTTTAGAGTGTCATATTAAAAAATTACAATAGCCAACACAACAGTAGCTGTCTAGTGTGAATGAATCAAAATTATTTTTTGTCAGATGGACAAAATCTATATTTTTGGTGTGCACAGAATTTTAGCGATTAGTTTTTGTGTGCCATGAGATGAAAAAGGTTGAAAATCACCGCTTTAAGCAGGTAAGCACGCGCGCTAAGAATGCATCCTGATGTATTAAGCAAAGCCAGAAAGAAAAAAGAAAAACCCCACAGGAAAATAGGACCATATCCTCAAAAGGCAAAGACCCCTAGGGCTCTATCCTTTCCTCCCATTGA